AGAAGGCCCAGCTAACCCGTACAATATACCTAACACAGAACCAACTGTGACAATGTTTTATGTAAATAACACAGCACATGCATGCTCTCCAGCCAGCCAGATAAACCAAAACAAGAATTAAAAGACAAAAGAAGATTGAAAGCAGCTTCTTTCTTAAGGCTCTCTATATTACTCTTCCTGCAACATAAAGCTTTTGAAAAGTTACTATTTAAAATCACTAAACATCCCCCTCTGGTACCCCCATTAACTAGAGACCAATAAAAAGTTGATCCAAGGGACTGACCCAACCTGGATATATTTTAGAGTAGCAGGACAAGTCAACTGGTACCATAAAGAAACATAAAAAGGTTGAAAGCTTATGCCCAGACTGCAGGGTGGTGGGGTTTTCTTTCTTTCTACTTTTATCTCTCTAATTTTTTTATGTTAAAATATACTTGCTTCCATAAAAATGTTTATCTGAGTAGCAACTGGATATTTCAAGACAATACCAAGGACACTATTTTATCCACTCCACAGTGAAGTTGATAAAAGGGCCAAATACGCCCCCATGTGGCTACAGAGGAAAATGCCTCGGTTTAAGTAAGAAGGAGGGGCTTACAGGAGGCCTCGAATTTTCTACAGGCCTTTGCATCTTTTTCACACCCTGCAGTTTTATTACTTGTCAGAGCTTAGAAGTTGCTGTGCTCACATGGTAAGCTTTGATTTCTATCAAGAGAAGAGAGGTTTCATGTTTTTAAAAATATATACTAAAGTTTTAAGTAATCCACATGCACCCTTAAGATCAGCTGAAACTCTAACACAGAGACACTAACCCCACTAGGACAAGCAGCGATGCTCTGGCATGTGAATACCTGGGCGACGATGTGGGGTGAAGGGACCAAACTGCTGGAAGCAAAGCAGATTCCAAAGAACAAAAGCAGCTTATTCCCCTCCTTGGAAAACAAGTTCAGCTTCTGTTCCCACTTTGGTTATCAAGAGATCAGAAGCCAATGCAAGGGACCAGAATAGAATTTAAGATAATACCACAAAGATCGTATTCCACACCAATCCATCAACATGAACTTGACCTCTAGACACTTCGGCAAGTATCACTCAACATTATGATACCTGGGTCAATAACCTATTTCTTCTAAAAAAATTCCTCTTCCCCATATCAGAGGTGTAGGCTACCACATATCACACGCATTGTAAGTATATGCATAAGTGAAAGAATTTTTAGATGTTTTTTCAAAAGTTTCAATGTTCTCTCATTAAATAGAAATAGCTATTCAGAGAAGGAAACGAAGACACACAAGTGCAAAAATGGCACTCACAGCTCTGGCACTGGAAGCTTCTGTTGTCACATACTTTTTAAATTCTAAGAGCATTACCTTAACACCTACAAAACGTCCTCCATGACACCAGGCCTTAAACCTGGGGCACCAAACACATATAGACACAAGACACATCTCCTGGGCCTGCAGGTCCACAGAGGATTCTTTGGAGACCTCTAAGTATCAGACTTAAACAAAGGCTAATACTGCACCTGAAGGACATGTTGAATAGGCGAGGAGCATAAATAATGCACTCCTGTGACAACATGGAAAAATACATCAGATGAGAAAAGAGCATAATATAAAACTATAGCATGAACACAACCAAAGTTGAACCCACACACTCACACACCCCATCTACAGAAAGAGATTAGAGACTAGAAGGAAACACTGAAATACCAATAGTGGCTGTGCTTCAGAAGGTTGAGATTAGGGGTGATTTTGAAGCTGTTTTCTCCTTTCATCTTTCCAAATCTTTAATAATGAGGATACACTACTCTTTTATAGTGAAACAAACAAGCAAATACTTAATGACCACTTACCGAGTGAATGGTTGTCACCTAACTCACTTATCCTAAAATTTTATGAAGATATAAACTAGGTTTGGGTCCAGCATATGATTCCAATGTGTCCTAAGAGGTAAGCAGAGCAGGATGGTGTGGGTGAGTACAGGAGATGAGCACAGGAATCTAGGGCCCTGCAATGAATCTTGGCTCTGTGGGACCCTGGGTGTTGGTTTCCTGATCCTGTCAAAGAAGAGGCTGGCCTACCATAGTGGTTCCTAACCCTCAGTGAGTTGCTAACTGCTCTAAGTCAGGGACCCTTCTCTCCAGAAGAAAACCCCAAATATGTCCAGAGCTTTCGAAAATAATCCAGGAGGCTATGGGTTCTCCAGAGGTTCACGGGCCAGGTTAAGAACACTGGTTGGTTAATATGTTCTCTTCTGCTGCTCTGTCTCCACGGCCACAGGGAGGTATAATATGGTCCTATTTCCATTTCCTGTATCTTTGCTGAGGGACTGGTCTAGCTGCTGCTAAAGTATGCCAAGGTCATCAGTTTTCTGCCCCAACCAATGTCACCTTTTAAAAGTGTGGCTTAACTACGCAGTCTTCTTTGCAGATAGCAAGGAGCTCTGGCGCCATACTCAGAAATTTCAGGCTAAATAGAACCCTAGGCTGCTGGTGTAAAATCAAGCCATGAAAAGTCAAGCACAGCAGAGGATAACTGAGACACCAAGAGAATAAAAGAGAGACTCCTTTTCCAGAGACATTCCTGCCAAGCCCTGACACTACAATTAGAAACATGTTTTAAGAACATGGTTACCTCGGCCTTAGAATTCTCCAATGTTAACAGGTAAACAAAGAAGGGATTACAAGGGAACCCCAAAAAACCGTCTTTGATCAGCGACAACTTATCTGCCAATAGATGAGACTTTCTTAAGCAACTTACTACACATAACTATCTTGCTCCATTTTTATTTCTATCATCAATCACCTACCCATTCAAAGCCAAGAAAATATTTTCCCCAACCCCAGGATTCAAACAGGATTGACAGTTTTCAATTCTGAATACTCTTATATTAGCTCCACTTCAAATGTCGAAACAAATTAAAAAATATCACACACCAGTAAAACTGCTACAAAATAGTACTTTAAACAGGTTGGAGGTAGGGGTATGGCTTCATTCTGCCGTATCTCAGTCACATCTGGCAGTTTTGATTCCCTAATTCTGTTTCTGAAATAACCAACATCAAAACAGACAAGAGTCAGGAATATGCCAATGTTTCCGACGTTTCCAGGCGCTTCCTGATTGGCCCTTCTTCCTGGCATTACTGAGCTTTCTCTCCCTGACTCTCCCGCCACCTACCATTAGGCCAGTTCCCTTCTCAGGACTGACACAGGGGTCATCAATTATATGTACCCAAAGTCTTCCGTCTTGAAGGTGACTTTAGAAGAAGGTACAGGGCTATCTGGTATACCACCTCCACCAGGGGGTTGAGAAAGTCACCCCTTCTCAGGAAGCAACCAGGGGTGACAGAGTGTGATGCTCTGTAAGTTCTGACCAGGATCAGACTGCAAAAATAATCCTTTTGGCCTCAGAAAACCAGTCTAAAGCTAAGGTGATCAGCTTAAGTCAGGTTTAAATCCCTTGTGAGTTTACTTATGGCTTTTTGTTGACGCAAATAATCACAATTCTTCCTCTGAACTACCATACTACAGTGCCCTGTTAACTTAAAAAAAAAAGGGAGGGGGATGTTTAAAATGGATTAATTTGTTTCAGATAATTCCAGTAGGCCAATGGTGGGATTCAGCTTGCCACCCCACAGGCCACACTCCAAAGCAAGCTGCTTTACTGTGCAAGGAGTTTGGAGTTAACTAGCAACAAGCCTGAAAATCTGGTTACGTATATAAGTACAAAGCTGGTTCATCAAATCCCTGTTCTGGCCCTCAACCCAATGCATTTCAACTAAGGCATCATCTACCTCCTTCTTAACGTTTATCAAACACTTGAATAGGTAACATCCAGCCACTCTTTGGAGATGGTTCCCTTTTACAGACACTGGGTTGCTGAATTGCTCAGAAGCCTCTTGGTCCTGGGCTCCATTACTGGAGCCTTTACAACTTTCCCAAACCTCCATCTCTCCCTTTTCCTCACTCCTTTCATCCTCCATGGGTTCTGGGTTTTCCTCCTGGGAAAGCGAGTCCTGGTTTGGGCCATGGCCCTCCACAGTGGCAGACTCGCCTTCCTGTAGAGCAGGCCCACACAGAGCACTCTCCTGGGGACCCTGAGCCAAGTCTTGGTTCTTGCCAGACTCTTTAGCGGGGGACCTTTTCTCTTCCAAGGCTTGGATGATGTTCTTGGGAGCTCGGGGAACTTCTCTCAGTTGTCTCACTCGGTCCCTTTTCTTCCTCCTTAAGTGAATCCAGGAGTTTTCTATGGCTGTTAGGAAAAGGCTAATTTCCTCCTTTCCACAGGGAACTCGTTTATGCTGGACCTGTTTGGAGGAAAAACAGAATTTTATAGGAAATCACTTTTCCCCTCTGAAAACTCCTTAGAACTTTCTTTTTTAAAAAAGAAAAGAGGCCTTCCCTGGTGGCACAGTGGTTAAGAATCTGCCTGCCAATGCAGGGGACACGTGTTCGAGCCCTGGTCCAGGAAGGTCCCACATGCCGTGGAGCAACTAAGCCCGTGCGCCACAACTGCTGAGCCTGTGCTCTAGAGCCCAACGAGCCACAACTACTGAGCCTGCGTGCCACAACTACTGAAGTCCGCACACCTAGAGCCCACGCTCCGCAACAAGAGAAGCCACTGTAATGAGAAGTCCGCACACCACAGCAAAGAGTAGCCCCTGCTTCCCGCAACTAGAAAGAGCCCCGCGCACAGCAATGAAGACCTAACGCAGCCAAAGATAAATAAACTTTTTTAAAAATTAAAAATTAGAAGAAAAAATAAAAGAAAAAAGAGATTATTATAAGTACTTCTTCAATGTGCTTATTAACCAGGTACCTTCAGATCGGTGAGAATTTTTTCAATCCATGTTGTCACAACTACTATGCCTTCCACTGTCTCAGAGCCCAAAGACGATGCTTTGAGGGATAATTCTTTCATCACAGATTCCAATACTACAAACGTAATGGGTTTCCTTGGCTTCTCTAATTTTCTTCGCTTACTTGGTGGTGACTGAAAGAAAAAGAAGGCATGGGAGAAGAGGGAAGGTTATCCAAATAACTAAATCTCATGCCTTATAATGAATTCAGCTTGGGAAATAACCATGACCTCTGCTACCAATCACAGAGCACTAAAAACACAAAGGCCTTTGCATCTTTATGTTTAATACTCAAAACAACGCTGCAAAATGGGTTTATCATCTCCCCATTTTACAGAAGGGAAAAACTAAGATACAGAGAGCCTATGTCATCAGCTCCAGGTCGCACAGTTAGTATTTGTCAAGTTAGGATTTGAACCCCAAAGCCAGGTTCTTTTCTGCCATACCATGCTGCCTGTGTTCTGGCTATCAGTACGTAACTCCTCCACTTACTAAAGGTCCTTAATCTACCTGTTGTGCCCAAAACAGGCCTGTGCAAGTATTTCTTTCATGGCACCTCAAGGACCCCAAGGGCATTGTGTTATTTTCTATAAAGAAATGCATGGCTTAAAATCACCACCTTGTAGCCTGAGTTTATACTTGCCAAGGCTTGAAAGAAAGCAGCTGGTGAGCCACAGTTTGTGAGATCACATGCTAGGAATGACCAGGGCCATCAGAATTACATGGGCGGAAAAGGACGCTGAATCTTGGTTAACATTAGGGCCAAGCCAGTGGCCAGCTAAGCACTGCCTCTCAGCTGGGGAGAGGGGACACCAGTACCGAAGAGAACAGCGGATTTGAAAGCTGGTTCCACATAACTCAAGGTTGTCGTCTTTCTTTAAATTTCAAGCTTGGAAAGTGATTTACACTCTACCCACTAGAGGGACTCAAGTTCCATTTTAAAAACCAAGTGACACTGCTGTATTTAAAGTTTATTTCTTTAAAGTAAAAACTTGCTAAATTTTTAAAAATGACTCAGCTAATACCAGATATATTATGGATACTTTAAGAGACAGACTTGTAGACAACTTTTATCAAAACTTAAAAAAAATTAAGCTAATTCTAAGGTTAAATGGGTCAAAATGAGCAGGATTATAAGAAGAAAGGCTCAAAAAAAGAAAACACCTAGTCAGCTTTGAAGATCTTCTCCTAAAGAAAGGCCTCTGATAATTGTGCTGCTAACTCCAATTCTGCCTGGAAACAGTGACAGAGCATGTCCATATACACACATAGTCAGGTCCAGTTACTGGGTGAGGCCTTATAGGAACTAACCAGTAACTCCCTACCCCACACATACACAACAAAATATCCAGTTTATTCTATGCTAGAAAACTTTTAGATGGTATTTCTTAGAAACAATCTACATTTTCCCTTTATACCAGATACTAACTAATAAAAAATGGAAATTAAAGAACAATAGAAAACAAGCTTAGAAGAAAAGGACCAAAAACAAAGGGTGTGTGTATGAGTCAGAAACCTGCTCTTGAGAAATGAATGGTGGACTCTAAGCCCTGAGTCTGAACTTGCTCAGTTAATGTTTCAGACAAGATGAGACAAATTCATGTTGACATTAAGACAGTAGTATTGTTATTACTCAATCACCCAGCATAAGAAACATAATTTCTACAATTATGGACAGCCTAACACTTTGCACTAAGGAGCTTAAGATATGATTATTAAGCTGGGGGTGAAAAAAGATGGTGGTGTTGTAGGAGGAGGATGGGGGAGAAGAATCAGATTCCCTTTCCACTTCCTGATATCCAAGGCTGTTAACATGGAAAGGTCACCGTCACAGGGCCATCCCTGACAGCACACCAAAGGTCATCTACAAATATGGCTAAAAGGATAACGCCCCATCTCTCTTCTGACAGAGGTGGTAATCATTTGTGCTCACAAATTCCAACCAGCGAAGTGAAGGTATTGCTGCGTCTCTCATTTCCTGCAATTCCAACCAGCGAAGTGAAGGTATTGCTGCGTCTCTCATTTCCTGCACTATTCTTCTCCAAAAGTAAGAATGGACTCATCATCATTTCTAGAACTAAAGGAGAAAAATGCATCCTCCCCAAACTTAACAAGAGCTCTATCAAGTATCCACTTCACAAGTTCCAAGCGAGTCAGAAACAACAAAACAGTTTACTGCCTTCTTACACCAGTACTAAAATGAAACCTTCTCTATCTCATATATTGCTCCTTTACCTTGCATCCTGGCTCCAGTGTTCCATATACAATGGTCAATCAACAAATCTGGTATTTCTGAAGATTTTTAGTGAATTGTTTTAATACACACACATATTCTCGGGATTGTTTTAGTTTTACTCTATTATAGAAACTAGGTAGGCACTCAAAGAGACAGATAATTTATACTTTAGAAATTCTCAAAGTTTTTAAATGATTAAAGATTAACTTAAGCCTGGCTTACAGCAATCATTCCTCTCCCTTTCTCGTTCGTACTGTAAATTCTTAGTAGGCAGGGCCAGAGTAAAATACAGAAGCAGGTCTTAAAGAAATTAACAGTTAAATTCAACTCCACAGGTTCAACAGTAGGTAACTGTATATATACCCTGTTACAACACCAGTAAATAGAAGCTATCTGTTTTTCCCTAATTGAGACAATCTTAATTTGCTAATATGCTTTTAAATCTCAAACCACAAATATTTTCAATGAAGAGTTCTACACTCAAACTGTCATAATATAGTTTACAAGACAAAGTAACATAAATAATTCAACATTTTAAAGCATAAATTTAAAAATCAATAATTTACAATGGTTAATTCAGTTTAGTGCAAAGAATCAGAAAGTGAATTTACAACTGGTTTTGGATTAGAAGATGAACTACTGTATTGCCCAGCTGAAATTACAATGTGAAAGAAGTTTGCTGGGGAGCTGTAAGTCCCGCAGCGGATACAGGTTTTGTATTGCTTGAACTGCAAGGATTCAATGAATAAAAATCAACAGGGGGAGGAGCGTCAAGTGTTACTATACTGAAACCATAAATTGGACAAAAACAGTTCTTAAATTTTTAAAATACGCTTTACCTAGCAGAGCCGTCTTTAAATTTCTTAAATCATCACTCTTATATTAATTTCTAGATCTCAGTGGTACAATTAGTCAGGAGACTTTCAAATTAGGTGTAAATGACGCAATCCCGTGTAGCATCTGCTATGCTGCTGAAGCTCTGCTGTTAACTACAGCTAAGGCAGAAACTCCCAATGAAGCCACAGGCTGCATGAAAGCTTTAAGAGCTCCCTCGTATCTGCAGGAAAAGGGAGTCATTCACTAAGATCTGCTGAGCATGAAGTCACAGCCTCCTCGTTTAGACAAAGCAGCTTCTAGAATGGTCTGGAGGGGAAAGGAGTGCTCTTGGCTACCGCACTGGGGTCCTCCCTGCTCTACCATACTCTGAATGGCTACTGCCCCAGGTCCTCCAGGAACAAGCAGAATGTCTGTAAGCTGTTATTCAGCACAGGCTGTCATTTATGGAGAAACAAAGCCAAGCAGCCAACGCTGACACCTGGCTGGAATACACAAAGGAGGTGCGCTGGGAAGGACAGTCAGACCATCTTGCCTTATTCAAATGTGTATCAGCTCTGCTGCCATGAAGTGGACAAAATATTTTGTTGTCTAAAAGTGCGGCTTCCTTATTAACAGCCAGTGGCATTTCTGTTGTTACCTAATCTGCCAGGTTACTGTTTCTAAAATGTCCCTGTAATCATTCCTAGATATATTCAAAAACAATAAAAAGTAAATAATCAAGGGGAAGAAAAGTTTATGTAGAATGCTACCTATCTAAGAAGGGGTGGCTATAACTACATATGTATTTCTTTATACTAAAACAACCAAACAAAAAACAATGGAAGGATGAATTATACAATCGTTTAAATAGTAACCCAAAGAGAAGAGGGATTGATTGGGGTGAAAGAGACAAGAGAAAGAAGCTAGACTTCTAACTATATCCTTTTCAATATCTGATTTTGAAACCATGGGTAAATATCTTTTACAATTACAAAACAAAATTAAATAGTACAAAAAGAGGCAATCCCTAAAAATATAAAGTAGAATGAAACAAATGAACGTAACTGTGTACGGACTGGTGGCATAAACCCACAAAAAGGAACATTCCAAATGACTTTAAAATCCATCATGAGACAGTCCCCAAGGACAAAAGAATGAAAAAAAATAAAAAGCTATTTTCACAAATCATTTGGTGATGTTAACTTTGAGACTGCCGTGGTGTATCATGGGCCAAAACAAATGAGTAATTAATTATGGTCAAGGGCTGAGATTTTTGGCATGGAATTTTTGAACGGGAGATATAGATAGACAATTGGTGAAGTTAAGTAGAAACTAAATAGAAAGTCGGAACTAGGATGTATTTTATCTTTAAAAACAAAATCGAAAAATAGTTGCTGCCAGCTCTGGGGAAGAAAAAAACGTATTTTTGGGGGGAGCAACCTGTCATACTAGACAGCAAGGGAGCTACTACCCAAGACTCTAGTATGATAAGACGACTCAGCATCCAACTTGAATAAACACTCCATGGGCAAAGATGGGACATAATCTGTGTATCAATAAAGATAATAAGTGTAACAGACTGAGAAATACTGAAAGTGTAAATCCATGAGTTCATAATAGTCTAAAAACAAAACCTAAACCACCCTCTTTGGTCACTTCTGGGAGATGCTAGGGAACCACTAACTCATTATTCTTAAAACTGAAAAGTAAAGCAAAATAATCAAGCATTTATCCTGCCTTTACCAGATGAACTGTACCTCAACGTAACCAAATAGTTGATAAGGGGAAGTTTCTCTTTATAAGTACTTTAGCAATAAAGAAGGAAGAATAGAATCAGAATATCAACATTCTGCAACTCTAAATGAATTAATGGATCCAGGCAATGATCATCAATGACTGCTCACATTGTAAGAAGACAAAAGCAAACATTATGTGCCTCCTGATGGAAGCTCTGAAGCATACCACACACCACCTAGAAAGCAGTCTCTCCCCCACCCCCCATCAAAACTGTACAATATCTGATCATGCCTCTGGCTCTAACTGCCAATTTATAGGAAAGACAGGGTCTGAGGAACATATTAACACCACGGAGATGCACTCAGAAAAATCCAGATATAAAAAACTCTACAGGACAAATATCCCATTTTCTTTAACAAATAAATTACAAGGGAGTGGGTGACAGAAGGGGGAAAGAGGGGGTGGACAACCATACTAAAAGCAATTCAAAGGATATATCTATCAACTGCAACACATAAAACTTAGTAAGACTCTAGTTTGACAAACTTTAAGACATCTGAGACAGTAAGAAAAATTTGATCAACTATACAGCCAACATGAAGGAATTATAAATTATTGTGGTTATGTTTTTTTTTAAAGAATCTTTACCTTTTACAGATAAATATGAAAATGGTTATGGATAATATACTGTCTGAGATTTGCTTCAGAATCGTCAGGGCAGGGGGAAGGAGTATATGGAATACAGATGAAACAAGAATAGCCATGAGCTGTCAACAGTCAACGTAGGTGATTGATAGGTAAACACTAGGTGTCTTCCTAGACTGTCAATTGACTCAATATTAAAATTATTTAACTTCAAAAACTAAAAACAAAGATATATATTATGGAATACAATACAAAATTCAAATGCATATTAAAGAGAAAAGAAGAGACTTCAAGAGTACAGAGTGCTTCCTGGGAAATTCTTTATTGTCACCTTGATGCCCAGGGATTTGTCAGAAAACACTTCCTCCTATAGCTGATACTTCAGTGGAAGAGTCTGAGAATCACTGTACCACATCATTTATTCCTTCATTTTCATTTATTTAATAATTATTATTTGAGGACCAGACACTATACTAGGTTGATGCCATGTAGAAGACACAATATGGACAAAGAGTGAACACAGGAGCAGAATCCCAATATCAATTTAGGAAGAGTGAGGGCAAACTTCACAGGTGGCAGTATCTGAACTAACTTGATAGATGAGAGTCTGATGGTCAGAGAGGAATCTCCTGGAGAGGGATCAGAGAGCAGAAGCTCAACATTACTGGGGCATCAAATATGGAGGTGGGTGAGAAGGAATGGTGGGGAATGACAATACATTTTACTGAGCATTTACTATATACCAGGCACTGTGTTAATTATATTTAATCCTCAAAACCCTATGTGGTAGGTACTATTATTACCCCCATCTTATAGATGAGGAAACTGAAACTTAGAAAAGTAACCTGCTCAACATAAAGCTAGACAGGGGCCAGCACACAAAAGGCTTTTTCTATACACTAAGCAATAGTTTTGGTGTTATCCACCATGCCACAGTTAAACAGAATACCAATACAAACTACTAGGTCACAAGGAAGTTCATGCAGAATACAAATGACTGAAAGAGATAAGTCCAGAGAGATGTCTATGGGCTGCGTGGTTAAGAAGGCTTTATGCAGAAGCTGGAATTGAGCTGGGCTGCAGTGGAGGGAAGTTCACAGGAAGGATCAGAGAAAGGGCTGTGAGCAAAGGCTGTACAAAGTCAGTTATGACTCTGGCATCGTGAAAAGACTGTGGAACTTCTAATATCGTAGAAGACAGTACAGTCAGGAAAACAGGGAGCAATTAGGACGGAAGGGAAAGTCAAAGACAGATTTGGGAGGCCCAAGGAGCCACTGAGGAGCTATACATTCTTTGAATGGTGAGTTTAGGATGAATCCAAGTGACTGCTACATGGAAGGCTGTTGGGATGGCCTATAAGCAAGGTGATGAAGGGTTGCCTAAGTAGGTTAATACATGGCTAGGCTGGAATAAAAGGCAGTCCTTTGGCAGTACAGTGAGTAGGAGCTTAGGCTGTGAAATCAGACTAATCTGGGCTCCAACCTGACTTTTTAGAGCCTCCAATTTCCTCATCTAGGAAGTGGGGATAATACCACGTATTCGACTTGTCAGGTTTAAATAAAATGACATAATGTGTGTGAAGCATTCACATCACAATTTGAAGCACTATATCCACTGCTTTAAATCTACTATACCTATTAACGTCCTGCTTGCAATGCTACTCCTTAGTAGAAGTCCTACATCATTCCTTTTAACATTCAACAAATACTTACCAAGCACCAACTATGAGTCAGACACTGACAATTCCTCCTCCGTGAAGTCCTCTCACACTAGCCCAGCCTGAACCATTTCCTTTTCTGAACTCCCTAATTCCACACCATTCTGGTCCCTACCATTCATTTCGTTACTTACTCATATATAAAATTTTGTATCAATACTTCACATGTTTTTCTCTCCCATAAAACTGATCATCATAAGGTACAGAAAATGGTATCTTATTTCTTCGGTATTATCACAATGAACATCACACTTAATAAGAAAAGTAATTAAGAGGAGGAGCCTTAGCTTTGGTTTTGTTCAAGAGCTCAGCTCCCTAACCATCACATCTGTTTTACAGCATAATATACAGTCTGGTAGAGTACTGGTTTTCTAACCATGTCTTAAAAGCAGAATCCTTTCAATAAATAAAATTAATACATAATACTGACAAAAGCAGATCAGCTCTGGTTAAAATGAGAGACAGCCCTGAAGTACGAGCCTTACATCTGCCCCCAACTGTCATCCCCTGGGCACCAACACGGAATCCCTCCTCTACCTAGAATTAGTTTGAGAACCTGTGGAATAGTAAGTGGAGCACTATCAGAGGACCCCCACTCTGACACTAACAAGGTTACATAATTAATTTGACCCCTTCCCTCCATTTGTTCTCCAAAAAGCCCTCTAGTTATTACTCCCTAGACAGGAAAGACCCAGGCTCAAAGGAAATGTCTTGAGCCCAGGGAGGTCATTTTTTAAAACCAGAGTTCCTGGGCAATGCTCAGACCAAGAGTGCACAATTTACTATGGCTACATTATTTTCTCTTTTTCTTTTAACAAGTGTCAAACGTCTGAAAGCAAAGCAAAGCAAACCTAAAATAATGCCTTGAGCAATTAGAGGAGAAGCTCGGACAAAGAGGCATTATAAGTGGCTTGTTAAAATTCTGTAAAGAACCGTCCTTACAATATGTTTCCTTATATTTGTCATCAGTCAAAAATGAATGTACAAAATTCTATCAACACTAGGACTCGTCTTTTTGCTGTTAAAATAAATCCAGACAAGAGCAATGGACTTAGTGTGGGCACCTGAATCAGAAGTGAATTGGAATTTTTCAGCATTCAGCACCAACAGAAACGAGTCAGTAGGCCTGAGATAAGTGAAAACAGAAGTTGCCATAGTAACTTGCACATTTACCCTAAAAAGGCGGGAGTGGGGGTGGGATGCGGAAGTAGGTCAATACTTCTGCTTAACTAGCTCTAGTCCTTGGCTTCCTCTCCTCACCTAAAGCAGCATATCCTCCTCCCTCCCCACCACCGGCAGGAGCAAGGGGAGGAAATGAGGTGACCATTTCAGAAAGCAAGGAGTGAGAGAGGTCCAGGTAGAGGGAAGGTGAACCAAGAGGACAGTCCACTAAAAACGTCCCGAGTGCCTTGGGACACCCCTGGGAAAGCGGATGCTGATCAAGGGCACCAGTGCTAAGAAACTGTTGCTGGGTTACCACAAATCAGAAATTGCCATTTCCCCTGTAGCAGTTTAAGTGGACCTAATGGAACACTTGGGAGTGCATTATTAACAACTTTGGGTTGGGGGTAGTGGTGGGGAGGGATGAGTACTCTGGCATGGGAGAAACCTGAAGCCCTCAGCAAGAGGCATCCTTTGACGGCTGAAACTATGAACAGGGCTCAAGGATGGCCTAAAAGACAGGGAGGGGGGGAGCAAATAAAGTAAGCTGATTTTGCTACACGGAAACATAGTACTCTTTGATACTCTGATCTGAAATAGCTACTAATCCAAGAGGGCAAGGGTGACGCTGGTCCCTGAGATGGCCTGAAGAGTGCCAGAGCTCATTATCAGCTCTTCTGCCTGTGGTACCAACAAGTGCAGAAAACAGGTTAAACAGGAAGCATTTGGAAACAGGTGCAGTTCCATTTTCCTGCAGCTGTTAGTGTCTGCACAGGGATAAGCTAGGACATTACTAATGATTTTAACCATTTGGTGGGAAAGCCCTAGTGTTCTAGAAGACAACAGAAAGGATAATCCCTCAGGGAGGTCAAAAAAGCAGAATCAAAAAAAAAAAAAAAAGCAGAACCATCTTTTTTAACCAGTGAGAATTTCAAACACAAACCTCTAGATACCCTACTGCATGGCACAGAGGCAAGTCTAGGCTTCCATCAGGCAGGCCAATCAGACTTGACTGGGAAACTTATTTCAATCCAGCAGCACACCTAGCTGCAGAGCACAGGAAGGAAAGGCTGTTTCAAATCTGAGCTCATGTATTCAGAAACATCTGCAAATCATCCCCTTGTACTTCTGCACATGTCTCTACTCCTCTGCCCTATGGGAGAAGGAAAGAGCCTCATAGACACAGCAACATTTAAGAGAGGCTCTGGAGACCAAGCGTGGCCAGGACCTTGGGAGAGGAGCACCCAGAACAAGCCTGTGGTGTAGACAGGGGATTAGAGACAGCAAGGACCAGGTACTAGGCCTCCGTAAACACTGTGGGAAGAAGCAGCCCACGCTGAGCAACGTGTGCATGAACATTAAGGCGGACAGCTCCAGGCAACAGTAAGTCAATCATTCTTCCAAGGGAAATGTGAGAACAAACAGATGCTATTCTATTACCACCTCTTAGCACGGCCCAGAAAAATTGTTCGGTCTAACTAGTTCAGAACTGTTTTTCTTTTGCATATAGCAACACAGAGGACAAAGAGAATTTTGTGGAACAAATCATGTTTTAAAACGTTCTATTATGGAAGAATGTTCAAGCTCAAGCACATGCAAAGTAGACAAAATAGGGTAATGAACTATCACCCAGCTTCAAAACTCATTAGTATTCCAGTGCTAACCTTAAAGCCGAGACAGAACCCTTCATTGGAATGATCTCTAAGTTTTACACACCAAAAGCCTGCAAGCCCAAATGGTAATTTCTACATCCACCAGGAACCCCAGGAGATAGCTACTCTAGGAAAACAGCAGTGTTAATAGAAAATAAACAGACTTCAATTTCAGTGCTTGAGGAATATCTAACAAAATAATCATACCCACAAAGTTTTTGTACCTGAATTTTTTAATTCCTAAAAGATGCATTTCCAACTCATTTATGTCTGCTGAGTAAGAATCAATGAGGTGCACAAACTCACAGAGAAAGCTTCCACAGTCACCACAGTCAGGCTTCCAGGACTATGTCTGGTTTACAACTACTTTCCATTCTTTTTTTTTTTTCTCCAGCTTCATTGAGGTACAAATGGCATATATCATTGTGTAAGTTTAAGGTACAACTGTGATGATTTGTTGCACAAATATTGTGAAATGACTACCAAATAAGGTTAGTTAACACCTCAATCACCTCACATAATTACTTCTTTTTTTGTGGTGAGAATGCAAGATCTATTCTGTTAGCAACTTTAAGGTATATAATACAGTATTGTTAACTATAGGCACCATGCTGTACATTAGATCCTAAGAACTTATTCATCTTACAACTGGAAGTATAACCTTTGACCAACATCTCCTCATTTCCCCATTGTAGCCCCTCCACTTTCCATTCTGACATAAGCATTTGGGGCAAACTTCAGGAAAACAGGACAGTACAGATTTAGTTCATTTATGACCTACTAAAACCCACCATGTGCTGGAATTCAGAGAAGCTAAAGGAAGGTCTCTACTTACTGGTACTGTTACATCATCATAAAAACTCCAAGCCAAAGCCCACCTCATTGTCCGACCTTGGCAGAATTCAGTGTAGGTGACTTTAGGAACCTGAAACCAGCAAACACAGCATCTCATCATTCTAGTAATTCTACTATGTTTCTGGCTCCTGCCTCATGTTAAATTATATGTTGGTCGTCCTTTTTATCAGTTAACAAACACTACCATCCCAAAACAGTTATGCACAGCTGCCTAATAATCAATGAATAAATTACCTCTCGACAAAGTTGTGGGCTTTCTTCCTGCCATAAAACACGAGAGAGAATTTATAGTTCTGGCCTGAAGGTCCAATATATGAAACACTCAAAACACATCCCTTCAGAGAACCACTGGTAAAATGATTCAAATGTTCTTTTGTTTTCTTTTGTTTAGGAAAGAGAGCCTCTAAGGCCTAGCTAGACACAGCTATGTAGTCTCCCTTTTGTCTACCAGATTTTAGGAAAGAAAACAGAACTACTTTCTAGCTGTTACAATTTTAACAAAGAAAAGGTGTTGTGGGGAAAATAGAATGAGTACAATGTCAGAAAGAAAACTGAAATCAGAAACTTGGTTCTACCGCTGAACCCACATCTGACCCCCTTCTCTGAAAAGTCATCCTGCTCCTGCCTATTCACGCCCAAACACCATAAACTGGGAGGGGAGTTGGGGAAGTATGTATCTGTCACCTGCTTTTCAAAACAAAAGCAAGGGGCTGAACTTGTGTGGGTCACACCATAGTGGGGTGAAGATCGCACACCGGACTGAAAATTGTTCTGGTTTCAGCTGTTCGTTGATAACTAGGCGTGTGAACTAGACGTGTGACCTGGAACAAGCCCCTTAGCTTCAGTTTCTGCAGTTGTAATGGAGTCAGATGTGGGGTCAGTGGTAGGCAGACACCAGGTTTTTTGAGGTCTGGTTTCTCTCTGACATTCTCCTCATCCTGTTTTCCCCATCTTTTCTTATTGGTCAAAGAAGGCCTTATTTTAATAATTTATAAAAAGTTCCCTTTAGCCCCAAAATTACAACATTAAAAAATAAACAAGCAAAAATAAAACAAACAAAAAACACATTTAGAGCTTCTAGGTATAAAGGAAAGTTCTATCTATACTCCAAGTACCATCAAAAGTGGATACACCAGAATAGTAAAGACAAAGCCTTACCCCTTGTATTCGAAGTTCTTCCTTCAGAGGAGCCAGGCTGCATTTCTTTCCCAGCATACAGCTATACCACCTGTAGGGGGCGGGAAATCAGGCAAGTCAAACACTGTTTATGTGGTTACACATTTTTACATTAGCATTACTCAAGTGAAAAAGATAAGAGTAGCAAACAAATATTGAGTTAAGTTACAAGTGACAATAACAAGAATTGTATCAATAGCCCAAAGCAACTTAAACAAAAAGCCACTTAGCCTCTCCAGTGATGTTAGGGCTGTATGTATGTGGAAAGAGAGTAAGAGAGAGAGGTCTCACCTGCAATGCTCAGAATGAAGATCATTTAGCTTTGGGACAGAAATTAGTTAATAAACAACAGAAAAAACATGCATACACACCCCCCCACCATATTAAGAGAACTTGTAAAATCTAGCATGAACCTGTATTTTGAGATGCACTCACTTGCAAATAACTTAAGAATATATATTGCATTAAAGTTTCAACAGAACATGAAATCAATTTCTTCTATAGCAAATACAAATCCAGAAGAGGGAGTATGAAGATGGAGTGAACTGGTTAAAAGGTAAAAGGACAGACTTTATTTCTTCTGATTATTCTAAGAAGTTTGCAAAGTATAAAATTTATACAGGACTTCTGCTTCAGCATATGAAGGATTAACTAGTAAGGAAATTGCCCTTCCACCATAAATTAGGAAACTGGACAAAATATATGAAACAATTTTTCAGACACTGGACAACTGCAGTGAAGACCTATGATCTCAGAGAGCAAAACAAGGTGAGCCCTATAACTGCCAGAACTTACTGCCTAAAGGAAATCCCCAAGCTGCAAAGCAGGGAAAGGAAACTAAAACAGAACCCAATAATCTTGCTGAATTGATGAGACAGAGACTGGAGTTCAGAGAGGCTGAGGCAGTAAGAATTTGAAGAGCAAAATATAAGAGGAAGGAGCCACATACGGAGAGAATTCTGGGCATCTGCAGAGGAGGTCACTGGAATATTCTGCAGAATGATCTACATGTGTGGGGTGGAGGCTAGGGAAAGAACTCTCAGAAAGCAGTAAGGTGAACAATTCCTGGATTTCAGACATCTGGGACTAGTTTGTGGATCTACTAGCCAGAGCAGAAAGACCCTGTTAATAAAAGGGGCATCTAGTAGAGTCCTGGAAAGGATACTGCTTTGTAATGGGGCTACAGCCTATTCTATATCTACCCTAATAAAGCTTAAAAGCAAGATTTGAAAGGATCCAACTGATCACAAGTAACTGAAGTAAGCATCAAAACAAAGTTTAACACCCTTTAAAAGAACAGAATGAAACGCAGCACCCCCAAACATAAGATATGCAATGTCCAGCATCCAGTCAAAAACTACCAGACATTGAAAGAAGAGGAGGGCTTCCCTGGTGGCACAGTGGTGAGGAATCCACCTGCCAATGCAGGGGACACGGATTCGAGCCCTGGTCTGGGAAGATCCCATGTGCCGCAGAGCAACTAAGCCCGTGTGCCACAACTACTGAAGCCCGTGAGCCTAGAGCCCATGGTCTGCAACAAGAGAAGCCACCACGATGAGAAGCCCACGCACCGCAATGAGAAGCCTATGCACCGCAATGAAGAGAAGCTCCTGCTCGCCGCAACTAGAGAAAGCCCACGCATAGCAACAAGGACCCAATGCAGCCAAAAATAATAAATAAATAAAATAAAAAATAAAAAAAGCAGGAAAAAGACTCACAACCAGGATTTAAAAATCAATCATTAGAAACAGACCAAGAAATAAGAGAGATGATGGAATTAGGAGATGAGGACATCAAAACAGCTATTAGAAATATGCTCCATAACAAAACATGGACATGATGAAGAGCAAGAGGGAAGATATAAAAACTAGCCAAATGTAACTTCTAGACATGAAAATTATAATATCTAAAATAAAAAATTCACAGATGGGATTAACAGCATATTAGACTCTGCAAAAGAAAAGATGTGTGAACTTGAAGACACAGCAAAACAACTACCTGAAATAAAGCACACAGGGGGAAAAAAAAAAAGAAAAAGACCAAAAAAATAAAACGCAGCACCAGTGACCAATGGGACAATATCAAGCAGTACACACAACTGGGGTTTCAGAAAAGGGGCAAAAGGAGGACAAAAATATTTGAAGAAAAAAAAGGTCAAAAATTTTCCAAAACTGATAAAAACTATAAACACATATACAAGAAGTTCAATGAACTCCACACAGAAGAAACATAAAGAAAACCATACTATATATTTAAAACAGATAGCCAACAAGGACCTACTGTATAGCACAAGGGAACTCTGCTCAATACTCTGCAATAACCTAAATGGGAAAAGAGTTTGAAAAAGAATAGATATATCTATATGTATAACTGAATCACGTTGCTGTACACCTGAAACTAACAAAACATTGTTAATCAACTCTACTCCAATATAAAATAAAAATTAAAACAAAAAACATACTAAGGCACCTTATAATCAAATTACAGAAAATTAGAGATAAAAAGAAAATCTTAAAAGCAGGGAGAGGGTAGAGACACTTTTTGTTCAAAAGAGTAAAGATAAATAGTTAATATCAGACTTCTCATCAGAAATAATGCAAGCCAGCGCTACGCTGGTGGCACAGTGGTTAAGAGTCCGCCTGCCAATGCAGGGGGCCCGGATTCAATCCCTGTTCAGGGAACTAGATCCCACACGCATGCTGCAACTAAGGAGCCCAAGTGCCGCAACTAAAGAGCCGGTGAGCCGCAACTAAGGAGCCCGCCTGCCTCAACTAAGACCCAGCTCAACCAACTAAATAAATATATTTTTTTTAAATGTTGATTTAAAAAAAAAGGAAAACAACCAGAATACAATACCCAGGAACTGTGGGACAACTACAAAAGGTATAAAATATGTGTAATGGAAATCTAGAAGGAAAAGAAAGAGAAAAGAACAGAAGAATCTGAAACAATGACTGAGAATTTCCCCCAAATTAATGTCAGACACAAACCACAGATCCAGGAAGCTAAGAGAACACTGAGCAGAAAAAATGCCCAGAAAACTACACCTAGGCGTGTGATTTTTAAAACACAGAAAATCAAAAAGATAAAGAAAAAATCCTCAAAGAAGCTAGAAAAAGATACACCTTACCTATTGATAAGAATTACATCCAACTTGTCTTAAGAAACCAAGCAAGCAAGAAGAGAGTGGAGTGAAATACTTATCTCAGACAGGGCTGACTTCAAACCAAGGCAAGTTATCAGGAATAATTACACAATGCTAAAGATGACGATCTTTCAAGAAGACTTAACAATCCTTAATGTGTTTGTACCTAACAACAGAGCATCAAACTACATGAGGCAAAAACTGATAGAGCTGCAAGGAGAAATGGATGAATCCTCTACTAGAGATGGAAACTTCAACAACCCTCTATCAGAATGGACAGATCCAGCTGGCAGAAAATCAGTAAAGACATAGTTGAACTCACAGCACCATCAATCAACTGGCTCTAATTGACATCTATTAACTATTCATCCAACAACAGCAGAATACATATTCTTCTCAAGCTCACATGGAATATTCACCAAGACAGACCGTGTTCTGGGCCGTAAAATACATCTTAACAAATTTTAAAGAATAAAACTCATACAACATCTGCTCTTACACCATAGGGAATTAAATTTGAAATCAGTAACAGAAAGAGAGCTGGAAAATCCCCAAATACTTGGATATTAAACAATACATTTCTAAATAACACATGGGTCAAAGAAGAAATCTCAAGAGAAATTAAGCAATATTTTTTAAAAAATATTTATTTTTGGCTGCATTGGGTCTTCGTTGCTGCGTGCGGGCTTTTCGCTAGTTGGGGCGAGTGGGGGCTACTCTTTGTTGACGTGTGCGGGCTTCTCATTGCGGTGGCTTCTCTTGCTGCAGAGCACGGGCTCTAGGCGTGCGGGCTTCAGTAGCTGTGGCACACAAGCTCAGTAGTTGTGGCTCGTGGGCTCTAGAGCACAGGCTCAGTAGTTGTGGCACGTGGGTTTAGTTGCTCCACGGCATGTGGGATCTTCCCAGGCCAGGGCTTGAACCCGTGTCCCCTGCATTGGCAGGCGGATTTTTTTTTTTAACATCTTTATTGGAGTATAATTGCTTTACAATGGTGTGTTAGTTTCTGCTTTATAACAAAGTGAATCAGTTATACATATACATATGTTCCCATATCTCTTCCCTCTTGCGTCTCCCTCCCTCCCACCCTCCCTATCCCACCCCTCTAGGTGGTCACAAAGCACCGAGTTGATCTCCCTGTGCTATGTGGCTGCTTCCCACTAGCTATCTATTTTACGTTTGGTAGTGTATGTATGTCCATGCCACTCTCTCACTTTGTCACAGCTTACCCTTCCCCCTCCCCATATCCTCAAGTCCATTCTCTAGTAGGTCTGTGTCTTTATTCCCATCTTGCCCCTAGGTTCTTCATGACCTTTTTTTTTTTTTCTTAGATTCCATATATATGTGTTAGCATACGGTATTTCTTTTTCTCTTTCTGACTTACTTCACTCTGTATGACAGATTCTAGGTCCATCCACCTCACTACAAACAACTCATTTCGTTTCTTTTTATGGCTGAGTAACATTCCATTGTATATATGTGCCACATCTTCTTTACCCATTCACCTGTTGATGGACACTTAGGTTGCTTCCATGTCCTGGATACTGTAAATAGAGCTGCAATGAACACTGGGGTACATGACTCTTTTTTTTTTTTTTTTTTTTTTTGCGGTACGCGGGCCTCTCACTGCTGTGGCCTCTCCCGTTGCAGAGCACAGGCTCCGGACGCGCAGGCTCAGTGGCCATGGCTCACGGGCCCAGCCGCTCCGCGGCATGTGGGATCCTCCCGGACCAGGGCACGAACCCGCGTCCCCTGCATCGGCAGGCAGACTCTCAACCACTGCGCCACCAGGGAAGCCCAAGGGAACTTTCTTTTTTGCGGTACACGAGCCTCCCACCGTCGCGGCCTCTCCCGTTGTGGGGCACAGGCTCCGGATGCGCAGGCCCAGCAGCCATGGCCCACGGGCCCAG